CACAGCAGCACAGAGCAGGGCTACCTCTTGGCTGTGCAGAGCCCTCCTGTGGGCTCCCCATCCCCCAAAGTTTAGCTGAGGAGTGGCTGGCAGAGAAGAAGGCAGCAGCAGACCCAGGACAGGAGCCCTCCTGTTTCTTTTAGAAATGGGAACAAGGGAAAGCTGGCTGCTGTGTGGGGTGACTCCTGAGCTGGGGGAGAAACGAGGGACTTTGGAGACAGTGTACTGAAGGCACACTGATGTAACACACCCGTGTGAATACCAGCATGCATGGTGTGTGGACATACAGAAGGCAGCTGGTGGGGCAGCTGGTTCCAAATAACTGGGAAACCGGAGGGCTGATGGTACTGAGGGATGAGATGGTTCATAGGGATAGAAGGACAAGTGCCAGTAGCCAGGGACAATAAACCTCCAAGGATTCATATCCAACGACTCACTTCTTCCAACCAGGGCTCACTGCTCAAAGTTTCTACAACTCCCCAAAACAGCACCACTAACTGGGGCTTGGGGAGGGGGAGCCACCAAAACAAGAGTCTAAGGAGAACACTTCAGATTCAAATTATGACACCAACAAATGAGCACCCCTTAGAGCATTTCTGGGTCCACAGTTCTTCCAGTCCAGCATTCTGTCTGAGCCTGCATCCTGTACTCACATTGGATTTAGTCCACAGGTCATTACTATGTGGGCTTTGGAGTAACTCTTTGAGGCACATATTTACAAATGAATTTTGGTTTTCTTGCATAGAAACCCTTCCATGCTTGGTACACCAATAGTACCCTAGGTTTGGACCCAGTACTTGCCAGAAGAAACATTCTCTGCACACTTTGTCTCATGGACACAGCTTCCCTGGGTCTCAACCCAGAGCCCCGGACCTTGCCAATGATCCACTACTGGTGTGATTTTCTAAGGATCAAGTATTAAATTAACACAAGGGTTTCCATGGCTCATCCAACTAACCTCGGTGTCAGGAGAGGAGCAGCACCCCCAAAATATAAGCTTATGAATTTGCTGCAGATACCACAGCCCATAACTCAGATGGCTCCAGCAGGCAGCTTTTTACTCGGGCAATTAAGAAAGCAACCTGCTCTCTTAATGACTGGGATTAGCTTGAAATGAAGGCAGTTGAAAGGAAAGAGATTCTGACCTCCTCCCTCAGGTCTGATTATCTTAATTAACACTGCGAGGCAGGAGGACAGAGGCCAGCATTGACTGTTCTATTCCTGTTTATTCCTCTCCGAGCCTTAGACATGAGTTAACCCAGCCGTAATAATCAAAACCCAATGCCCGGCTTTCTCCAATTTTCTCACCAGAGTCTCATGGCAGAGAAGCGTGGGATGTCTGACTTGGAGGGGATCCGTCAGACCCACACTTCTCAAAGCATGGCCTGAGAACTGCTTGCATCAGAGATGCCAGGGATACAGTTTTAAATGTTTCTTTCAACAGCCTCCAGGCCTGGATCTGCTGCAGTGCCAGGAGCTGACTTTAGCTTGTTAAATTGATTTTTCTTTTTTTTTTTTGAGGGAGAGTCTTACATGACTCAGGCTGGCCTCAGACAAGGATGAGCTTGAGCCACACACCCCCTTCCGACTACTGGAATTACAGGTGTGTACCACCACAGCTGGCTAGCCTAGTTCTTTTTAAAATTGTGATCAAATACGCATGTCATAAACTCTGTTATCTAGATTGTTTTAAGGGAGCATGCAGTTCAGTGGCACAGTCACCCCTGTCTATCTTCAGAGCTTCCTTGTGGTCCCGAATTTTTGAAATTCTAGACTTATTGAACAATCTTGCCCCATCTTCTCCTCTCAGCTCCTAGTAACCTCTTGGCTCCTTTTGTCTTTGTTAATTTATATATTCTAGAAACCTTGTGTAGGGTAGGGTGCAGCTCAGTGGGAGAGTGTTTGCTTAGCCTGTGCCAGAGTTCGGAATCACACAATATTTGCTCTTCTGTGTCTTATTGATTGTACTTAGTATAATGTCTTCAGAATCCATCCGTGTTGTACCACATGTCCCAGTTTTATTCCCCTGGGGCTGGAGCGATGACATGGCAGGTACCCGAGTTTGGTCCCTGGAGTCCTGTAAAGGCAGAATGAAGGAAGTGACTTCACAAAGTTGTTCTGTGGCCTCCCCATGCACACACACACACACACACACACACACACACACACACACAAAACACGCTCATACGCATGCATATGCACAGGCACACACATGCATGTATACAATGATAATAATGATAAAATTAAAAATTTTAAAGGACTTCTATTCCTTTTTAAGGCTCAGTTGTACTCCGTTACATACACACCTAGTCTTGTGTGTTCTGCGGCCCTGGGAGGCTGGTGAACTCTGAGTCAAGGCACAGCATTAGGTCTGTGATACCAGTGCAGGGAGATGGTCACAAAACTGTCGACAGACCTCCAAAGTAATCAAGACCTCAAAGCCTGTGAAGAAGCTGTACATATGTGTGACATGTGCCTGTAGCCCTAGAGGTACAGAGGATGGGGGAAGAGGATCCTGAAAGCTTATTGGCTGGCTGGGCAAGTCAGAACAGTGAGCTTATCCAGTTCTGTGAGGGACCCTGTCTCAAGGCAATAAGGCAGAGCACCCTGGAGGAAGACACCTGACATCCTGCCATGGATGTGCAAGCAGGCACATGGGTATGTACATACTCACACTCACCTGCACTACGAAGACACCACACACACACACACACACACATACCACGTGAGGAGCTCTACAGTTTGTGGTCAATGGCCGGGTGGTGTGACAGTGTGCAGCTGAGCACTGTGGCATCCTCAGGTGTGGGCAATCAGGCTATGCTCATCCATTCTTTGTGGGTCACTGTAGACCCCACTTCCCATTGTAAAATGTGAAAGAGGGGTACATAAAATTTGATGGGAGTGTGAGATTTCTATCACTGTTTATTTTCCTTCTTGGGCCCCAAGCCTGGTTTGCTCATTCTCATCTCCACTGAAGTGCATCTTCAGATTCTTCACTCTGGGTACCACTCAAAAAGACTTACTGTGGCAGAAATTTTCTGCCCAATGTATTGCAGTGAGAGCCCAGTCATTGGACTAGGAAGAGGGAGGAGGAGCTAGGAGTTGGGAGGAGAGAGGAACAAGAGAAAGAGGGGAGGGGGAGAAAAGAAAGGAGAGAGGTTGAGATGGCCACAGACGCGCATCTCTAGCAGTCTCTGGAAGTTATTCGTATCAAAAGGTTAGATAATTGGGATAACAATTCTAATTGTGTGGGCATTTTGTATATTGAGTATTTGATAATATATAAATCCATTGGTTAACTTTAAGCATCTAGAGTTTTGATTTACTGGGTTACTGGAAGGTAGGCCCACTGACAGCAGGGTAGTTATGGCTGTGAAGGACCTAGCGGCTCCAGGGAAAAGTGAACCAGAGCTGGAAGCACAACAACTGGAGACTATGGGTGCAAGCTAGAGAACAGCCCAGTGGAACCAACTCGGGAGCTCTGGTCCTGCTGGAGAGCTTGCAGAGACAAATGGGCTTAGAGCAGGAACATGGCGGCCAGGCTGGGAGCTAGCCGGATGCTCCTTTTGTCAAATACCTCCCGCTACAACTTATGCTGCTTTACATTGGGTTCCCTCATCTGTCTTCCAGAGTTCTACAAGAGAATCACAGTCCTTGGGTTGCATGCCGAGAGAGATGAAACTTCCCTTAGGACCCATCTCAGTAACTGCCTCTTACATCGTCTCTCAAGGTGTCCATCTCTCTCCTTGTAGATTCTAGTCTGCCCTCTCTAGACTCGCTTTATCAGTCAGGACTTATATTTGGTGATTACCAGAGCCGTGGGGAACTGATTTGGGGTAGAAGGACAAATGCACTCTTGACATTGGCAGATGCAGCAGGATGATGCTACATCTAGGCAGAGCAGACGGGAATCTACAAAGAGAGAGATGGATAGCTCCAGGGATGGTAAACGAGACCTGAAACCCTTATAAGTCGTAATCCCAGTGATTTAATGTCCTCCCACTAAGCCTCGCCCCCTAAAGGCTCCACTACCTCCCAGTGGTGTCATAAGATGGCAATGAATCCTTTAACACCTGGGCCAATGGGGAATACTTTCTGGAACACAGAACCGTTCAACAGAGGTTTTTGATAAGAGCTGTTGACAGCAAGGGAGAAGATGGAGAAGCCATGCACAGGGAGGCTACTTTTAGTTAGTGTTCTATTGCTATGAAGAGACACCATGACCACAGCAACTCTTAGAAAGTATTTAATTGAGGCTTGCTTACAGTTCCAGAGTCTGAGTCCATTGTCATCATGGTAAGAAACATGGTGACAGGCATGGCAGGCATGGTACCGGAGACATAGTTAAGAGCTATATCCTAAACCACAGGCCAAGAGAGACTGACAGAGCCTAGCCTGGAGTTTTGAAATCTCATAGCCCAGTTGCAGTGATCCACTTCCTTCAACATATTCCTCCCAATCCTAATTCTTTCAAAGAGCTCTATTATTGTGGCTAAGCATTTAAATTGATGAGCCTATGGGGCCATTCTTACTCTAACTACCACAGAGGACATTAGCTCTCTGGGATGCTTGTTAAGTTCTTCTCCTCTTACACAGCACCTATGCTTGGAGCATATGCCAGACACATCTGTGAGACACCATTCACCGCGGTAGCACATGGATGGATGCTGAGTCCTTCTCCCCCTCACCCCCCCACCCCACACCAAACTTCAGCAGGTGGGTGTATTTCTGCTTTACATGAGACTCACACGACCATGTGTGTCAGGCATGGAATAGGTGCATAGTCCACTTAACTAAGGTGATCAAACCAGATCCTTTATCAAGATGCATAGAGTGTCCAGTGCCTGTATTATGATCTCAGGTCTTTGGGGGATGGGCTAGAATCTGGGACAGAATACAGCCTAGAAACTGATGTGTTTATTGTCTGTTCATCAGCTAAGCTTCTGGGAGCTAGGAATGGGGCTTCTTGGATGAACAGAAGTAAAAATGCCTCTTGTGTATGACTTTCAACTTTCCTCAGCAACTCTGGAATGGATGAACAAACACTGAGTGGGTAATAGTTTTTTTGCTGCTTGTTTGCTGCTTTTATGGTACTTGGGAGGAAATCTAGACACTAGCACATGTTAGGCAAGTACTCTACCACTGAGCTACCTCCCCAGCTTGGGTAAAATATCTGTGAAGTACTAGTGCCCAGTGTGTAAAATATGCACCATTAAGTGTTCAAGCAGAAAAGAGTGGGTGTTTCTGTTCCACCAAGTCTGCCAAACAAGAAGCATCTGCCAGAAGAGTGTCTGTGGAGTCATTTGAGCAAAGGATTCCAAGGGACAGCACCCTCACACCAGAGACCTCCAGTGCTGAGGACCCATGTGCCGAGCCTCAGGCTGTGATGTTGTGTTTTTAATTCTCTCTTTTCCCATAGGATCATGGCATATCAACTTGACCTTCTCATAGGTGTGATCTTCATGGCCAGCCCCGTGTTGGACATGTCTCCCTGTTCTTCAGATGGCCAGATAGCCTTATTCCGGAGCTGTAACCTTACCCAGATTCCCTGGGTCCTCAATACCACCGAGAGGCTCCTGCTCAGCTTCAACTACATCAGTATGGCCGTTGCTACATCATTCCCACTCCTGGAGAGACTCCAGCTGCTCGAGCTGGGGACCCAGTATGCTAACTTGACTATTGGCCGGGAGGCCTTCAGAAACCTGCCCAATCTTAGGATCTTGGACCTGGGCCAAAGCCAGATTGAAGTCTTGAGTCCAGATGCTTTTCAGGGACTGCCCCATCTCTTTGAACTTCGGCTGTTTTCCTGTGGACTCTCCAGTGCTGTATTAAGTGACGGTTACTTCAGAAATCTAAATTCATTAGCTCGCTTAGACCTATCTGGCAACCAGATTGACAGCCTTCACCTCCATTCTTCATTTCAGGAACTGAATTCCTTAAGCGACATAGATTTTTCTTTCAACCAAATATTCACTTTATGTGAAGATGAACTCAAGCCTCTGCAGGGTAAAACACTGTCTTTCTTCGGCCTCAAGTCAACTAGCCTGTTCAGCAGAGTCTCTGTGGTCTGGAAGACATGCAGGAACCCTTTCAGTGGCATGTGGCTTGAAACTCTAGATCTCTCTGAAAATGGCTGGACAGTGGCCATCACAGGGAACTTCAGCAACATCATCCAGGGAAGCCAGATCTCCTCTTTGATTCTTAAATACCACATCATGGGTTCTGGCTTTGGCTTCCAGAACATCAGAGATCCCGACCAGAGCACATTTGCCAGCCTGGCCAGCAGTTCAGTGCTACAACTGGACCTTTCACATGGCTATATCTTCTCCTTGAATCCCCAACTGTTTGAGACACTGAAGGATTTGAAGATTCTGAACCTTGCCTTCAACAAGATAAACAAAATTGGAGATAATGCATTTTATGGGCTTGACAGCCTCCAGATTCTCAATCTATCTTATAACCTTTTGGGAGAACTCTATAATTCTAACTTCTATGGGCTTTCTAGAGTAGCCTACATTGACCTTCAAAGGAACCACATTGGGATCATTCAAGACCAGACATTCAGCTTATTAAAAAAGTTACAAACCTTAGATCTCCGTGATAATGCTCTTAAAACCATTGGTTTTATTCCAAGCATAGAGACAGTCTTCCTGGGTGGCAATAAGCTGACCCATTTGCCACGCATCCGTTTTACAGCCAACTTCATAGAATTATCTGGAAACAGGCTAGAAAATCTGTCTGACCTCTACTTCCTCCTGCGAGTCCCCCAGCTCCAGTTTCTCATCCTAAATCAGAATCGCCTTTCATCATGCAAGGCGGTCCACACCACCTCAGAGAACCTAAGCTTAGAACAGCTTTTCCTCACAGAGAATATGCTGCAGCTTGCCTGGGAGACCGGCCTCTGTTGGGATATCTTTAAAGGCCTTTCCCGCCTCCAAATCCTTTACCTGAATAATAACTACCTTAATTTCCTTCCACCAGGAATATTTAACAACTTGGTTGCATTACGGATGCTCAGTCTCAGTGCTAATAGGCTGACCGTGCTCTCTCTGGGCAGTTTACCTGCTAATTTAGAGATTCTCGATATATCTAGAAATCAGCTTTTCTCTCCTGATCCTGGTTTGTTTTCTTCACTTCGTGTCTTGGACATAACTCATAATGAGTTCATCTGTGACTGTGAGCTTAGCACTTTTATCGTCTGGCTCAACCAAACCAATGTCACTTTGTTCGGCTCTCCTGCAGACATGTATTGCATGTACCCTAACTCGCTGCTAGGGGGCTCCCTCTACAACCTATCCACCAAGGACTGTGATGAAGAGGAAGCCATGCGGTCCCTAAGGTTTTCCCTTTTCGTCCTGTGCACAGTCACTTTAACTCTGTTCCTTGTCATCACCCTCATAGTCATAAAGTTCCGGGGGATTTGTTTCCTGTGTTATAAGACCATCCAGAAGCTGGTGTTCAAGGACAGGGACTGGAATTCGGAACCTGGTACGTCTAAATATGATGCCTACTTCTGCTTCAGTAGCAAAGATTTTGAATGGGCACAGAATGCTTTGCTCAGACATCTGGATGCTCAGTACAGTTCCCGAAACAGGCTCAGGCTGTGCTTTGAGGAAAGAGATTTCATTCCAGGGGAAAACCATGTCTCTAACATCCATGCAGCCATCTGGGGCAGCAAAAAGACAGTGTGTCTAGTGAGCAGACACTTCCTTAAGGATGGCTGGTGCCTGGAAGCCTTCAGGTATGCCCAGAGCCGGTGTCTGTCTGACCTCAAAAACATTCTCATCGTGGTGGTGGTGGGATCACTATCCCAGTATCAGCTGATGAGACATGAGACCATCAGAGGGTTCCTGCAAAAGCAACAGTACTTGAGGTGGCCTGAAGACCTCCAGGATGTTGGCTGGTTTCTCGATAAACTCTCTGGATGCATACTAAAGAAAGAAAAGGGAAAGAAGAAAAGCAGTCCCATTCAGTTGCAAACCATAACAACGATTTCCTAGTGGAAGGTGCACTTTGCAAGCACTGCAAATAACTCTCCACTCTGTATGTGCACAGCTGTTGAGGGTCCTTCCCAGGGCTATGAAAACAACATCAATCTCTTGATTTCATGTCAACAGGGTGCTCTGTCTCACTGGCCTCCAAATGGGAAGTAGTAGGTCTAGAAAGCTGCAGCCCCTCTAAGGGCTCCCACCTGTCATTAACTTCCTTTTAGGCCCAATAACACTGTTTCCTCCTGTCTGGTTGCCTTCTGTCCTGGCAGCCACCGATGGCGAGGGCACCTTGAGAGAAGTTACAGGTGGCTTCATGCTTTCTGTGCTGTTCAGTTCAAAAACAGGAGGCTTGAGAATCCTGAGTTCTTAATGCTGTGTAGAACATGGCCAGACGAGATAGGTCCTTCTCTGGCCACAGGCACAAGGCCAGTGCTGAGGGCTGTTCTCACTCCGACAAAGTGTGGAAGTGATAAGAGGTTGGGCAGACGGACAGATGGCTGCAGCTCCATCACTGTGGCCAGAATACATACGTCCTGTTCTGACCCTGCAGGCCCAGCTTTTGTGTGCCACAGCCATGTTCTGCACGGGCTCTCTCAACCTGGTATTCATGCCCTTTCACAACTTAGCACCAGCCTGCCCTTCTCCCGTCCCCACAACCATATAACAGCTGTTGCATCAGCTACACAACAGCTACAAAGAGGCTGTGGAGTTCACACACTGATTCCTTACTGAATTCTGACTCCTTGGTTTCTTAGATGTGTAAGTTGAGTTTTCTATACCATGGCTGGGCCTCATGTTCTCTCCTGTAGGCCGAACAATATCTACCTCATAAATATGCTGTGCATGGCCATTGGCCGGGAATGTCACGACTTGTCTGATCTTTTCCTTAATTGCCCTCGTGAGCATAGGAGAAGAAACATATCCAGAGACCTCTCGATTTTGTAGTGATTTCTTTGAATTTGTATTTTTTTCAATCCTAAAAATGATTTATGTATATTTTGCATTATAATCATTTTTGTGTGTTTATTAATATAGCAATGTTTCTCTGCAAAAGCATTAAGAAACTTTTAACCAACGAACATGTGTCACAGTACACTAGCCTCTCACTCAGAGTCCTCCACATCCAGTGTTGCCAGTCCAGCTGATGTAGCATGAATACAGAGAGGGGAACTTGGCCCCTAAAGGGCCCCTCCCCTACCCTCACCATGATGGACACACACGTACCAGGTTCTTGACCTCTTCTTATCCATGTGTCTGAGCTTACCCTGCAGTCAGCAGTATATTTGTCCTTATGCAAATAATATACAATCCCACTCTACTTCTTTTTTTTCTGGAATGTTCTCCCGTATCTTCCCACACATTCTGCACATCCTCTGAAATCCACAAAGATCCCATGAGTCCTTCTAACCCAGAGTCCTCCACCCTTTCTTTTCTGAAAACCCTTGGTACAATATCAACTATTTCTAGTCTAGGACTGACTGTCTGCTCCTCTGGACCATAAACTCCATGAGGCAGGGCCCTGTGCTCTGTACCCACTCACTAATTATAGTATCACATTTGACTGGGGGCCACGTGGGAGTCCACCACCTGAACATCCTGTCCACGCTTCCTTCTCCACTAATTCCCACCAGGGTCATTTCCCCACAGTGGCATGACTGCTTCTTCCCAGTGGTCTCAGGTTTCTGTCACTGAAATATATGCAATAATGCATTTGGTGTATGACATGACACCCCAACTGTGAACCCTGCTGGTGGGGCCTTTTTTGTTTACCTGTTTGTCCTGGGCCTAGTGTGGGGCCTGGTCCATAATAAGTTCCTAATAAACACCTGAAGCATCTGGTGACAGAGCCTTTCTTAAGAGTCGGTGGGTGTAGTTGTCCTCTGCCCAAGATCTCAGGGAGGGTGAGGGCAGGGTTTGGCAATTAGAGTGACACCCGCAGAGAAAATGAAGGCAGGAGGAAGATGCTCCAGGCTCCAGGATGCACTGTCCCTCATTGTGTGGTCCTGGAGCTCCTGGAGGGAACAGCTCCATCTAGAGCTTCCAAGGTTGTGCTGCAATTGAGGAATGGGTGTGAGGAGGCAGGCAAACAGCCCCAGGTCATCCACGGAAAATATCATCTTTTGATTCTTGTTCTGAGGTGTACAGCAAAACTGAACCCCAGCCTTTCTGCCAAGGACAGTTACAACCACCGCTCCTGAAGACAAAGGAAGACAACATTGGTTCAGTCTCATCACACTGTGGCTCGTCAGCCTTGGCTTTGTACACACCGTGGGATGGCTCTGATGCTCGGAGATCTCTGCAGAACCTCTCCCTGGAACGAGACAGTGCTGCCCCAGCTGAAGAAGGCCAGAGCTGGGAAGGCCTGGACGAGCGGCTCTGTAGATCTGCCGTCTTTCTTCCTACCTCTGTTCTAAGCACGCTTTCCCTACACTTTGGACTTCCGTCTTTCTTTAAAGCCCCCCCCCCCCCCATATGCAATGTGGGTGCCTGTCTGTCATGTGGATGACCTCCATTTGACTTAACACCATTGCTCGCTCTCTCTGTTTCTCCAGTCTGCTCCTCTTGGCATCTGCTGAGATGCTCAACCTGCCTGTCCTGGGGTTTTTGTTTGGTTTGTTTTGAAAGTTAAACTCTAACAAAATTGTTCTCAAGCTTAAAAAGAAAAAGAAAGAAAGAAAGAAAGAGAGAGAGAGAGAGAGAGAGAGAGAGAAGGAAGGAAGGAAGGAAGGATTTCACTGCTCAACAAGAAAACAGAAGGATATTTGTTCTTTTTAGCCACTAGAGAAATATAAATTACAACCACATTGCTGTGGCACTACCCACCCACCTGAATGGCCAAAATCAAAATTACTAGCAGTACCAAATAGTGAGAAAGACACAGAGTGATGGAAACTCCTGGGTTGGTAGTGAACATATAAATTAGCATCTTTTCGGAAATCCACTTGCCGTTTCCTAAATCAACATAGGCCCGACACAGAGCAGAAATGTGTACCTATTCCACCAGATGCTTTATTGTCATTTTTTACAGTAGCCAATACAGGAAACAACTTTCTGGTCCATTAGCCATAAATGAACAGACCGTGGTCATTGATAAGTACACAGGAACTTCAATCATCAAAATTATCCATAACCACAGGTGTCCATCTTACAAAAATGCTGTCAGTGGAGAATAGTGATTATGTATGAAGTCTTTAAAAAGACAGCACCCACCTATGGTGATAGTGTTGACAACAGTCACTTCTGAGGTTTGCTAAGGGGACTCTGAGACACTGGGTGTGCTCCATGTCTTTACCTGGCAGCAGGGACCAAGTATGTACACTTTGTGTGGATGCAATTTCTGTGGACTCGTGGATATGTTTGCTTTTCTCCAAGGTCTTATTCTCCAGTTTAAAATAAAAAAAAAAACTTAAACAGCAGGAACATTTTATCATGTCTGTAGAACAGATGGGGCAAATACCTCATCCCACAAACACCTTAGTTTTGGGAGGCAGGCCTGTGCGTATCATTTTGTTTCCCTGTGCTGACTCCTCCCAAACAGCCTTTTCTCTGGGTACTTTGGGAAATGACTCGGTTAAAAGAGGACACAAGCTTTCATTATTCATCTTTGGTATGGCATTTTTTCTTTCTACATTTATCTGTTTGTTTGTTTGGCGTGTGTATGTGTGTGCATGTATGTATGTATGTGTTTATGTGTGTGTAAGTATGTGTGCGTGTATGTGTGTGTATGTATGTGTGTATGTATGTGTATGTGTGTATGTGTGTATGTGTGTGTTGGGGAGGCTTGCACACACCACAGTATATGTGTGGAGATCAAAAGATAACTTGTGGGAATCACCTCTTTTCTTCCACCATGTGAACTACAGGATTTGAACTAAGGTCATCAGATCTGGTGGCAAACCCCTTTACCTACTGAGCTACCACTGAGCTATCTCATCTGCTCCTTTGCTACTACCTCTTGTTTAACACTATATATGTATTTTGTTAATAAGTCTTTAAATGGGCAAAATGAAATCAATATAATGATACTGTCCGTCTGTGTAGAAGACAGAGAATATAACAATCATCACCCAGAATTTATTTTATTTACTTAATTTTTTTCTTGCAAGACAGAGCCTTACCTTGTAGTCCCAGTTGGGATTGCAAGCATATGCCACCACACTGTCTCGTAATTTTTAAATTAAATGAGCATGGTAGGAAAATTATTTCAACTGATGAGTATATGTGAACAAATCATACAGGGCAAGGTGGCTCAGCAGATAAAAGACATGAGTTCGATCCCTGGAAGCCTACATACGGTGGAAGAGGACAACTGGCTTCCTACCGCTGTCCTCTGACCTCTACATAAACCGGGCACAAATGCAAACTTACACATGTGCACCATCTAAGTTCATACATACACAACAATAATAAATGATCTTTAAGATGTGTGTGTTTTATATATATCTTTGTTTTTCTTGAGATTAAAGGAATTTTTAATCTGTTTTACTTAGCAATTAAATGTTTTATTTCTCATCCACCACAAGAGCTCTCATTTAGATACAGCCTTACAGAAATCCAGCAGTTTTATTTTACAGAAAGTTCCATGGAAAGAACTCTCTAAGGCTGTTGCAATCCTATCAGGGAGTATGGCCGGGGCAAGTCAGACAAGGTAGCTTTATTTCTGAAACAAGGGTCTCTGGCTCAACTGGCTGGAAGTCACACTTCTTTTCCCAGTTCAGCCTGTGGGGCTCTATTTTCCCATCTCCCCAGGAAGGCCACCTCAGTGAGATGTGATAAAAGCCAATGACATCATGTCTGGGGCTCCACCTCACTGCAGGAAGCAGGTGCTTTGGCAGAGGGAAGCTTTGGCCTTTTTTCCTGCTCTGATGACCTAGGTTTGCTGCCCAAGGGCCTAACACTTAAGGCTGTCCGAATGGTTTTTCCAATGACCTGGGCTGTTAATGCCTGACTCTTGGCATTTTATCCAGCTAAGGCTGCGTTATATGGCCAGCATCTCCCAAGCCTGCAAGTCATGCCAAGCCTGGAGGGATTTACACAAGTAAGTTACCATCAGTGTGACGCTTACAAAGAGAAGAGAAGCTTTTGGGAGAGGGAACTAGAAATCCCCACTTGTACTCTGAAGTAAGACCAAGAGGCC